TTTTTTTTCCAAATACCAGCAGCTGTTGATTCCGATGCGTAATATCACGGATGGAAGAATCCACCGTATTGTGCAATAACGTTTGCGATATTTTGCAGAGATAATTAATTTTGATGTTTCAGTCTGAGATTTATTTATGAACACTTTAAAAGAGTTTGACCGTGCTTTCTAATATAAGCAGAATATTTCTCAGTTCCGTGGTCTATTTTTTATATGATGCCCATATCGAAAATGTCAAAATCATTTATTTAGCCGAGAAATCTAAGAACGCTAAAATCTCCCCCCTCCTCTTTTTCCAGTTACGCTCGACTGTACGAATATTTTGGCAATTTTCAAGTATGCGGTTATTAAGCTTTTACTGTTAAGGATGACTGCATGAAGCAGTTTTCCGCTCCTGATTTCAGAAATGTTCCTTTTTTTTTTTTACTTAAATTACTTTGCTGAATATATGTTAAGGGAAAACTGTTTATGCAATGAAAATTTAGAAAATGTTCAGAATTTTTTTTAAGTTAAATTATTTAAATATTAATATGAGTGGAAAAATAAAATTGTATTTATTATTAGGTGCCAAGTGAATAATTAATATGGCTTATTATTATTTTATTTTCTATATTTTGAACTGAAATTTCATCATTAAATCTTGTAATATAGTTTAGTTCTGCATAGTTTTTTTTTTCTCTCATTCTAAACTAATTCTGTAAATTGAACTGTCGTTTAAAATTAAAAAAAAAAAAAAGTTAATTGTTTTCCATGGTTGCTCATTCTCTCAATAAATATTGCATTGCTCATATTTTAAATTGCAAGGTCTAATTTTTCTTTTAGGTTATGCCGTTGTGTATAATGTAATTAGACAGGTGCTTATTTTTCTTTCTTAAAATGTGCTTGAAAAGTGCTTATAGGTGCTTATTTTTTTAACTAAAATGTGGCTATGAACCCTGTAAATTAAGGAAAAATCACGATTATTAAAAAAGTTACATGTAGAATTTTATGAAACTTACCCACAATATACAATACATAGTAAGCTAATCAATAACATAAATGAAATTACCAGACAATTATTGGTAGTATAGAAATTAGCACATGTATAAAAATGAACAAATTCGAAGATGTCAGTTTTGCTATAGTAAAAGTACCTTCAAGATGGAAGTAATCACCTCTAGAAGCAATACAGCACATTTAGCAATGTGTGATGCTTTCAATTATGCAGTCTATCAGTTCCATAGGAAGCAAGAGCCATTGCTCTTGCAAAGCAGTTGCAAGTGCAGAAAGGGTCTAGGGGGCAGATTGAGAGCAGCTTAGACGTCCCTAAAGCATCCCAAATGTGCTTGATAGGATTCAGTCGGAGATCAAGCTGACCACCTATCCTAATTGTGTCCTGTTGAAGATAATCATATTGATGCGAGCCCTGTGGGTCTTGCATTGTCGTCTGTAAAGGAAGATCCTTTATTCCCCAGCATATGGGCCACATAGCTCAAGGATGTCATCTCTATAAACATGAGTTCACGGTTGTCTCCTTGGAAAAACATGGAGGTCTGTGCGTCCACCCAGAGTTGCCCCCCCAAACACAGACACTTCCTCTTCCGTATGCATCTCTTTCACGGATGGTAACGGGTTCCAGGTTCTCTCCTTATCAAATAATGCCCACTGTCGCCTTCTAGACTAAACCTAGACTCATCTGTAAAGAGAACAGCCCTCCATTGATCAGGCGTCCAGTGGACATGTCATGGCCACTGAAAACGGTCCCTCCTATGGCGTGACGTGAGCGGCACACAAATGGCTGGTCGCCCCGCATACAGACCACCTTCGTGAAGCCTTCTACGCAAGGTGACGTTGACATGAACCTTCCGGTGGCTGCAGCAGGATGATCTAAGAGAGGCGGAGTAGCGTTCTATTCCTGAGTGCCATAATGTCAAATATCGGTCATCTGCGCTCGTCTAACAGTTGGCCGTCCCTTGGCTGAACATCCTACTGTTGTGCCGAATCTGTGTTTTAAATGCTTCAAAGTCTATGAACCACAGAAGGACTCGCATTTAGCCTCTGGCCACTTTGTTTGACTTTGTCCTGCCTCTATAGTCTCCCAATGCTCTCCATTGCAGTTCTGCAGCAATGAAGCCTGGAGTCATTGGTACCAATTGCTATCTCAGATTTCTGATGTCACTATCGCAGTACATATGTACTTGCTCTCAAACATGGACCTTTATTGCTCCTCCAGATGACGTATTCTGAGTGCAGTGCCACTAATTTGCGTATTTCAGTTTTACTCAGCTACTCTTATGTGGCAACATATTCAAATTTTACACGGTTTGGCTTATTTTTGAATGAGTTATTGCTATTTTTTGTGATTTTTCCTTAATTTATGATAACCAGTGTACTTGCGTCTACCACAATTATTGCATCAGACTGTAATTGCGTATCAAATATTCCACGTAAAATTCACTTCTGGCCCAACCATCGTACGCGGGCTATGCCCGTCATTGTAGATTAAGGGATTAAAAGTGGATGGTATTGTTCTCCTCGGAAATGATCACAAAAGATGGATGTTTGTTTGAAAACCTGAACTGCTCCAAGGAATGCTGTATCGGGATTCTCGACAGCAATTACAGGACTTGAACAATGGAACTTTGTAACTGAACAGAATTATGTCTGAAGTCGGAGAAAATTAGCACACACAACACACATACCACAAAAAAAAAAAACAAAAAAAAAAAGAATTACCTTAAAGAAATGTTTATAAGTACAATGTTGCTTTTTTTTTTTTTTTTTTTTTTTTTTTTTTTTTTTTTTTTTAACTTTTGATACTTTTAGATCATAAAAGCTTCATGATTTCATATTTTTAATTTTATAATTTCTACATGTCATCTTTCTAGATTTAAACTGATGATCTAATATCTGGAAAAATTCCAAATCGGGAATCGCCGAAGTTTCGACGAGTCCGAATATCAGACTTTATACTGTATTAGCCAGGGTTGTAAATACATAGTTATCAGTGTTTACCTCATCCCCTTTTCTTTTATATTTTTTAATTGCAGAAATTCAGTATGACATCACAGAGAAAGAATGAGGATGATAAAGCAGCAAAAAGGCACAAATTTTTGACGTGTCAGAAAAGTGAAAAATGGTGTGCATATTTCATCGTTTGCAGGACAACTGGTTATAAATGAATCTTACTTATGGAGATGAGATGGAGCTATGTTGCCATGTGCATTGCAAAGAAAAAATTTTAGGCAATTGCCATTGTGAGGAGGTGAAATAAAAAAAAGCTTAGGTAACAAAAGCCCTCTTTGCTAATACTTTGAACAACAAAACCTGAACTTTAATTTCTCCTATATCTTGATAATGTTAAAAAACCTGATGCTGAAGCTTTCATAAAACATTTACATCCAAATATAAAGGTTTTATTCCTCCCATCTAACCAACCTCCAATCCAACCATTTGAACAAGGTGTCATAGAAACATTCAAAGCCTATTGTGTCAGGCATGTTTGCGCCCCAATAAAAAAATGAAGGAAAGTATGACGTGTCATTGGTATTTTGGAAGCAATTCAGTATAAGCCAATGCATAAAAATGATTTAACTCACTTGGAAACTACTGAATATATCAGCACTGAATGCTTGTTAACATCAATTCTGGCCAGAAACTGTTTACAGTTTTAAAGGGTTTCCGTAAATTGAAGGTGAACCCTCCCCCCCCCCAAAAAAAAACCATAGATATTGCAAAAGCAAATTACAGTGGAGTATTTTCAGATATGGAAGTACGAGAAATCAAAGAATTAATTGAGAATAATGATCAAGAAATGACAAATGACTGATTTTGCAATAGAGATGAAAAAAGATGAGGACATTTTATGAGAGGCGTTGAAAACCTATGTGCTTCACCATGAAGCTTTTAGAGTTGTGTTGATCTTTATCCCAAGCAAAAATCACCAGCTTTTTTTTAAAAAAGTGATTGTATCGTGTACCTACAAGGGGCGATCAAATGAAAAGGTACAAAACGACACGGTGGGTACAAATGTAGACTTTATTCAAAATATTCACCATAGCCTGAACACACGATTTCACTGATGAACAAGCCACAGGATTCCTTGTTCTCGATTCTGTGGCCGGCGAGATCCAGTCTTCACAGAGTCCTTGAGTACGTCTCCGAGTTAAAAGCGCTTCCCTTTCAGGTGTTTCTTCATTGACCAACACATGGAAATCCACCTTGTCCATGAATCGCTCGTGAGACAGGTTTGCCTGGCCTGGTCTCGGGTCATCACCCACCTCCTGGCCTGCACAAAAAGGGCACTCCATGTCTAGAGACTTGTCAGAGACACATTTCTCCCCGTAAACTGTCACATCTGCGATGATAGCGCCGTTTTCTCACCCTTCTTCTTCTGTCAGAATCGGATAACACCTCGCTGCTCTCGTCGTCAAATTTTGCAATGCGAACGCCATCCTGGTCCTCATCCGGAGCCTGCCGCTCATTTACGCCGATTTTGATAGACCTCTGCTCTCCTCCTGCGCAGGCTCCGATCCAGTCAGACCTTCATCCCCATCCCTAATTCGCACTACGTTTTCCCATGCCGGAATATGCAAATATTTAACTGTTGCGTTTTTACGTCGTTTCGTACATTTTCATTTGATCACCCCTTGTACTTGCTAAGCAGTAATAAAAATCCTTGCAATTAATTTTTATTTCATTTTCCTTTTTTAAATACAACAATGTTTAGTTTTGTTTAAATTATACATATTTTTTTAATTTGAACCGTACCCAACATAGTTCAGAACATGATTTTGATTTTGCCGTGCATTCTATATGTTAATGACATAATACCCCCCTCTATTCAGAAAGGGTTTACTTTATATGATACATGATTAGTTAAAGAAAAAAGTTAAAAAGCCATCTGTTGGACCCTATCAAGATTGATGTATGTTTTTAAATATATCTATTTTAAAATATCCAGAGTAGCATTTATGAATACTTAATTGCAGAGGAGTTACTTGATTTTTTTTCCCTTTCAGAGATGCCTTTACATTAGTATTAAATAAGAGACTTTGCATATGTCCAAATGAAGGTTTTATGCAACAGCTAAAAGTAGGTTATTCTTATTTGTTTATTTATGTAATTTAAAGAAATATTTAAATTTTTTGTTCAGCTGAACAGTATTTTTGCCGACACTGTTTATGTATCAAAAAATAATTCAATGTATATGATCATAACGTCTTGTGTTTGTAGTGTTTTGCTGTTTAATTTATTAAACTTTTAGCTGAATTTTTAATATTTGCAGATATGTGCTGATATATAACTGACAACCTAAATAGCACAATGGTGGGATTAATCTTGGTATTGGAGATGTCATCTTCATGTTCAGTGATGTGATTTATAAATGAACCTCTTTTAATTACTTCCGAAATATGCATTAGTGCAATTTGTAACAAAAGCTGAAAACGTACTCATTTTATCTTTTATGCGCTTTTTAAGTGTGGCTTCAGATTTACTCTAAATGTAAAGATGAAACCCTGACACAATTGAGATCTAGCTGAATGCATACATATATAGTTCTATCATTATTATAATTATTATTATTATTATTATTTTCATTTTTCTTTGCTTAAGATGTTTACAGGCATTCTATGCAAACGCTTTGCTGATCTCTCTCTTAACTCTTTAAAAACCGAAGCCTTCACTAACCTGTATGTTAAAATACTGAACCACCCAAAATGGTTTTAGAGTGTCACAGCAATTTTCTCTCCTCCCCATCCATTAATGTACAAAGAAGAGTGAAGATTTCATATGACATCCTTTCTACTTCTAACAAATAAAAATAAGAAACCACAAATAAATTCTTTTAGGGCAAATTGTCTACAATAACTGATACAATGCAGTTCAGGAAACTGCACCTGCTACTGCATATGTTAGGGGAGGAAAGAAAACAACATCGGAATTTCGGCCTTTTGTGGTCATTTGAATGAAAGGCCGTTTGGGACGTTATGGTCTTGAAAGTGTTAAGAGCTTGAAATTAAAATAACTTTCATTTTGACTTCACATTTAATGTATTTTTTGCCCTTTTGTTTAACAATATTTTTCGTCATTCGATTAATATCTAAATGTACTTGAGGTCTAATTATTTAGAAAAACTTACCTAAAATATTATAATCTACAGAATGAATTACAAAATGTTTTTAAATTGCTGCTTTTCGTTACAAAAATTTTAAAAGTTAACAAATTTTAGAAGAAAATTAGATATGCAACTTCACATTGATATGCTTTTAAAATATTCTGCTCCAGAGCATTATATGCTGGGGATTTGCCCTTTCTGAGGTAAAAATAGTTTAATTTTTCCTTTTGGTGCAAAAGGTAAAAATTTGTATAGTGCATGTCTTTATAAATTAGGCAGCATTTCTTATTAGCAGTTTTGGAACTGAGATTTGTAAAATTATTTTTTTTAATGCTGTTTCTCTAGCATTTATTATTGTATAATTTGCAAAGGAGATAGTATCGTTCGTTACTTCAGTATTATATATTTTTGATTTGAGAACCTGAATCAGTACTTTTTTAAAATGTAATTGGACATTTATACTTTTATGAGATGATACTTTAAAACTTGCCTGCATGTAATGGGACCATATTTAAGGTATCAGTTTGAACTAGCTGCAATGATATTTCAGATACCTGAATTGTATGGTAAGTAGTACGAGCTGTCAGATTCTTATGCCATTGCCTCCAAGTTTAGATCCTTAATAATGCATGAATATTTGTAATTGTAGTGTCTTATTGCCTGAGCACACTTAAAAATCTGTCAGGTCAAAAGTGAGAGGTTAGTGTTAAGGGAAGAGAGGTACAAGGTCCTTGGTCGAAACAAGAAAATCCTTATATACTTTGCCTAAGTTAATAATTCAATCAGATGTATTAAAATTTTAAGTAGAAATGCAGTATTAAAAAATAATAAAGATACAGATCCTTGGGTTATGGAGGAAGTATGTTTTTGAGAAAATCTCTAATTAGATTTTATGTAAAACGACATCTCTATTCCACTATTTCTTTTAATTCAAACATAGAATATGAAAAGTCTCACAGAAGGCTTAGATGGGAAATAAGAAGCAAAGTTTAGCATATTTGCCATGGTATGGACTTTCATTGTGGTGACATGATTAGAAAGATAAATGCACTCGAGAAATTTAATAAAAGGTAAATATTTAGTATCATTATAGCATCATACTGCTGTAATGATGATAAATAAAAAAAAGATGAAAATGATGCTATGCATAAATAGTTGTATAAAGAATGAAATTAGCACTCAGCAGAAATGTTATAAAACTTAAAATGCTTTCATCTCATGCAGAAACTTTTTGATAGCCATAAAAGTTTATCCCTTAGTGCTGAAGCCATGGAGAATGTAGAGGTTCTTGAACTGCTACTGGAAGGGGAGGGACAATATTTAGCACATGTAAAATAAATGAAAAAAATATCATAAGATAGCAGCTTTTCATGCTTGAAATATCATGTTTGCACATATGTCTCTGCCAGGTTTGATATGCTGTGACAGTTTTGTATAGCTCAAAGGTTCCATAAATGTAAAAAATGGCTTGCCATATCAGTTATTTGTAGATAATTATAGAACTGGCATTTGAACTTTCTAGAACAGTTTCTTAAACTGGGGTTCGCCAAAAATTTTAGCAGTTTTGATATTTCTTTAACTTATTATAATAATTTTACAATTACCAAATATTTTTACACAATGTATCTGAAAATAGATAAAGACAATGCAGACAAATTAAAAAACGAAAACGTTTCAACGCATTCTTTTTATAATATAAACATTCATTTTACTCACATGACGCTGTCATTTTGTCTGCCTGCTACTTATTTAAAATTTTCACATTGTTCTATGTTTTAAAATTAGAAAATAAAGATTATGAATGTTTTTCAAGGAAATACATTTTTCCCACAGTTATGTAAGTAAGAAATCCACCTAAAACTGCAATAGTATATTACAAGTTAAAAAAATTGACAGTTTCACTCATGCATAAGGCAGATTCGAGTAATGCTTATGGGGGTCCCACAAAATTTTCATAAATATTATGGGATCGTGGCGATAAAAAGGGGTTGCGAGTGAAAAAAGTTTAAGAAGCCCTGCTCTAGAACATGCAGTAGAGATTAGGGCTTTTATTAGGTCAAAACCAATTGGAGCTTGAGGTCATATGAAGATGCTGTAAAATGTTTGCTGATAGTAAGGGCTTAACAGCATTATCTGTTTAAGTATTTATGTTAGCAGTTGTCAAGAAAATATTGTATACCTACTATAATTATATTGGGCGACTGGGTATCTGATTTTATTTAAAAGAGATGGAACTTGAGAAGCAACTACCACATACATATGAAAGGCAGTAGGCATGCAAATTAGCATTCCCAGAATGTAAGATACCATGCCAAAAACCAGGGGATCATTCTCATGCTCGAAAGAAAATATTTCTCAAATCATTAGTGCAGTACATTTGGAATCATTGGAACTTCAGCTTTTCCAGATTTTAGATATTTCCCTATTTTAGATCTCCAGTTTAAATCTTAGTCATGTTAAAAATTATAAAATTAATATGAAAAGCATTTATTACCTTAAGAAAAGCAAAATTTACAATAAAATACTCAATATTTGTTTGATTTATTAAATGTTACTTTCAATGTAAATTGTTTAAGCCAGTGTTAATATTACCGAGGAGTGCTCTTCCAGCTTCAAAAAGAATTTTTATTACATGTCCCATTTAGTTGTTTTAAAATCAAATAGGGAACTATAAAAATTAGACTAGTATTCGATGTATTGTCAAAAAGTAAAGGGTGCAAGTCTCTTAATGAATGTCTGAATCCTGGGGGCACCAATGAATCCCAAAATTTTAGATGTGATTTTATGATTTTCCAAATATGAATATACATTCAAGTATGATATTCAGAGAGAATTTTTGACTGCACATGTAGCAAAAAAGAATAAAGACTGTGATATGTTTGGTTTCCAAATGAAAATGATTCGAAAGCTTATAAAATTTTCCGAATGACTGACTCGTGTGCCCTTCAAATTGTTTATCCTAGCTGCGACTATTAAATATCACATTTGAAAATGTAAAATGACTTTTGACTCGAAACTTTTGAAATGTTTAACTGAGCACTTTTATGTGGACGATCTTTTTTAAAATGCAAATACAATAAATAAAGTTTTAGAATTTTCTGAGAATGCTGTATGTTAAATTGTCATATGACAAGCATATTCTGCACATCATGTACGAGTATTGCTTAAACAACTTAAATTTCCTTGGTTTAAATCTTTAGCAAAAATATGTTATTATAAATAGAAACAGGTTGCATTCATTATGTATTACTTTTTAATATAACAATATATATATATTATATATATATATATATATATATTAATCTGTCATTAAATGTGTATTTTTTATGCAACAGGAATATGAACCCATTTATAAAGCCCAAAAGACACTATTAAATGGCCATACATCCAAAGTTACAGGTAAGAAAAAATATACTGTTATATTTTCCCATTTTTTATTCTCATTTAATCCTCTGACCAACAGAAGGTTTTGACAGCTGTGAGGAAAAGTTTCTTAAATTTAATGCCAAAATGCCCCTGCTGCTTTATACCTGGATTTACATATTTTAAATGTGTTGTCTTAATTTTCTGGACATACTCCAAGATGTATGTATGTATATTTTCTTAAAGACATCACAAAAAGTATTTTAGGCTGTATAATACGGTATAGAGTCCGTGATCTGGACCTCAAAGCCACAAACTTTTTTTTTTTGGTATGCTTTACGCAAGCACGTTTAATGTATAACGGATGGCTAGGCTAAAATTATCTTTACTGATTCTAAGGCATTTCAGTTAATGTTGCAGATTGCGCTGTTCCTTGATCATCTAATTGGATCCAGCTTATTATTTTTTGAAGATTGTTAGAGCAATTTTAGCATATAAAGTAGCAAATTTAAAATCTATGTTAAATTTCTTGAACAATGGCAAGACTATTAAAGACTTTTTGAAATTTTTTAGCATAAAATCTGCTATGTGGAACATCGCAAGATTGTGGGAGGATGTGTCTCCAGACACGTTAAAAAATGCTTGGCATAATTTATGCCACCTACCATATTTCATGTTGAGGACGATGAAGATGATAACCACGAATTTGAAGGTTTTCGGACATCGCAAACTAAAGGTAAAATTTTCCAGTTATTGGATTTTATAAAGAAATGTGGAGAAGCGGTAATAAATGAAGATGATATAATAGAAGTTTTTCATTGCGACGACAATGCCACAATCATCAATCAATTAATGGACAGCGAAATCTGTAGTATGGTTCTAGATCTAGAAAATACCACTTCCGATAGTGAAGAAAGTCACAGGATGGTTATTGAAAACGAAAACACTTCAGTTCACAAGTTAGTCGGTATTCTCAACACAGGAATTACAATGGAACTTTGTAATTGAGCAAGAAATTATGTCTGTTTATAGAATTAAAGAGAAAGTATTAGCACAAAAAACGAAGCAACTTAAACAACTTACATTGAAAGAAATGTTTAATAAAATAAACAAATAAATATAAAGCTTTTTTTTTTTTTTTTTTTTTTTGTAAATTTTGATACCTTTTAGATTATAATTGCTCTTTATTTCATAAATTATGATTTCATATTTTTAATTGTGTAATTTCTGCATGCCATCTTACCAGATTTAAATTGCTGATCTATAATGCGGAATCGCCGAAGTTCCGACGAGTCCGGGTTATATGGACTTTGTACTGTTCAGCATTGCTGGTCAGAGGTTTTGATACAACATTAAATTTTTCTTTTGCTGGATTTGCCTTAAATAGGGTATACTAGTGAGAGTAGATAAGACCACCTCGAAGGTTCAACTAAGATTTGAAACCCAGTGAAAGACTTGGCTGCTTAAATATTTTTGTGGTTTTTGTCATGTGTAACGTGAATACAAACCAGTTCCTTGTAAAAAGGTCTCTACAATCTGCTCTTTACAGGTAGCCCTCCTATGCTTTTGCCTTAGCTAAATTCAGCCGGTTAACTAACTGTAACTTTACAGGGTTCGTAGTGGTCCTTACATGTGCTTATAAGTCGTTATATTTGAAAATAAAATATAAAAGCCCTTATAGGTGCTTACTTTTTCTCTAAAGCACTTTTTTTTTTTTTTTTTTTTTTTTTTTTTTAAACGAATGCACATTTTTTCCCCGTACCAAAGCCGAAACTAAATAAACAACTTTATTTCCTTATATGGAACATCAGATGGTGAATCATACTCCCTGAAATAGCTTTTCGCCTCTTTCTCTGCATTAGCATAACTTTTGGCAAAGAACGTCTATGTATTCAACAATGTCTATGTATGAACAATATAGATTGATTTTGTATATAAACACATTTTCCTCTCGTGTCATTTTTTATGCGTTCCTGCCTTAGCCCGTCACTTTAGACTCTGCATTCCTGTAAAAAAATGCATGTTTTAGTACACTCCACCACCCCTCCAAGTTTGTCCCATGATCTGTGAAGCACCTTGTATATTCTTTGCCTTTGGTGCAGACGAGTATAGACAGGTGCACGTCGTTCTATTGGTCAAAGAATTGCGAAAGCGGTAGGAAATTCCGATGCATTCCATATTCTTTTGCTCCCACCCAATACTACACACGTTTGAATTTCTATCAAGATTTTAATAATTTACATTCTCATTCTGCGTGGTCAGTTCATATTCACGTTTATTATAATCGGCTTATATTATGAGCATATGTATGAATATTTATAATAATATATTTGCAGTAACTGCTGAGTAAGTTTTAAACTTTGCCAATGCATTTATACTTTTCCCTTTTTTTTTGTTGGGGGGTTGTTCCCTTTTTCCACAAAATCTCGAATATTGAAACCATTACAGTTCGCAGCAAAGCAAACAACGGACTTTTTTTTTTTTTCTTTTTTTTTTTTTTTTTTTTTTTTTTTTTTTTTTTTTTTTTTTTTTTTGTCACTCTCTATCCGGATTGAATAGGACTAAAAGTTCTGCGGTCTACCAACCCAAGTGAAGAATGATTCTATTCCGGGAATTTAACGCAGTCTGTTCAAAATTAGAATGAAAAACATCCCAGATAGGATCTCTTTATTTATGCCACATGGGCGCCTGATGGTAAAAACCGGACGAAGCAAAGGGACGTTTTCCTTTATTTAGGTTATTTATTCTCCGAATACCAGAACCTGTTGATTCCGATTGCGTAATATCACGTGAGGAAGAATTAAGGTGCTCGTATTGTGCGATATTTCCCAGAGATAAAAGAGTTTTACTGTGCTTGCTAAGCAGATTATTTTTCAGTTCCATTGGGCTATTTTTTATATGCTGCACATAGCAGAATGCCAAAAGCATTATTTAGCTGAAAAATCTAAAGAACGTCTACAATCTACCCCCCTTCCACTTTTACCAGTTACACTCTACTATCGGAAATTTCAGGTATTTGGCAATTTCCGAGTATGCCGGTTAGTTAAGCTTTTACTGTTAAAGGATGACTGCATGAAGCAATTTGCCGTCTTCTGATTTCATATAGTAAATATAGCTTATTGTTATTTATTTTCTCTATTTTGAACTGAAATTTCATTGTTAAATATTGTAATATAATTTAGTTCTGCATAGTTTTTCCCTCCCCTCTCATTGTAAACTAGTTCTGTAATTTGAACTGTTATTTAAAATAATAAAAAAAAAGAATGTAATTGTTTTCTATGGATGAGTAATGCTCATTTTCTCTTAATAAATACTGAATTTCTCATATTTTAAATTACAAGTCTAATTTTTCTTTTAAGGTTATGAAGTGGTGTATAATGTAATTAGACAGGTGCTTATTTTTTTTTCCCTTAAATTGTGCTTGAAAAGTGCTTATAGGTGCTAATTTTTTTAACTAAAATGTGGCTACGAACCCTGCTTTAGATATTTATTTAAAATAATAATATGATCTAATTCCACTGTAAGCAAACCTGCATGTAATGAAGCCGAAGGTTATAGTAAATGAAATTTTGATTCTACCCAATTTCCAATACTCAGGATATTTTATGCAGCTATGGCATACATTTAAATGTATACATAGGACAGATACAGTCAAAAGTCATTAATCCGGACTCGTCGGGACTTCGGCGATTCCGGATTATCGATTTTTCCGGATTTATAGATCATCAGTTTAAATCTCGTAAGATGGCATGCAGAAATTCTAAAATTAAAAATATGAAACCGTAATTTATGAAATAAAGAACAATTATGATCTAAAGGGTATCAAAATTTACCAAAAAAAAAAAAAAAGCTTAATATTTATTTGTTTACTTTATTAAACATTTCTTTCAATGTAAGTTGTTTAAGTTGCTTCGTTTTATGTAATAATACTTTCTCTTTAATTCTATAAACAGACATAATTTCTTGTTTAGTTACAAAGTTCCGCTGTTCAAGTCCTATAATTGCTGTGTTGAGAATACCGACTAATTTGTCAATCGAAGTGTTTTCATTTTCAATAACCTCTGGGTCACTTTCTTCACTATCGGAAGCGAATTATAATGACGAGGAACTTGATTTAAATCATATCAAAGATGGAGTACATCGAAATGAAATACTACACTTAGTACGGAATTATAAACCAAATAAAATAAAAACATCTGCCCTGAAGATAAGGATAGTGCTGAGAGATCAACTTCCAATCTGCGGAGTGAAATTGATAAACAAATTTCAGATTTCAAAACATACTTTCGCTTTGTAGGTACAAATTACATATTAGTAAATATATATCGGAAATTCTAGTTGACATAATCTTTTTAATCTATCATAATCTAATAATGACGTTTCTGCCCCCCCCTCTGCCGCAGAGCAGCATGAAATTGATAAACAGATTTCGGATTTCAAAACATACTTTCGCTTTGTAGTAAATATATATCGGAAATTCTATTTGACATAATCGAAAGTTCAAGCTTACTTTTATAAAATTGCTCTAACAGTCTGCAAAAAATAATAAGCCGGATCCAATTCGAAGATTAAGGAACAACGCAATCTGCAACATTAACTGAATTAGATAACTTTAGCTTAGCGTGTTACACATTAAACGCGCACAAATTCGCAGCCGTAAGAGTCTTACGCGCTCTCGTAAACGCCTGTGCGCATGCGCAGAAAGTTTGTAGCTTTGAGGTCCGGATTATGGGTGTCCGAATTAACGACTTTTGACTGTATAATAAATTTGATATTGTCTTCACTTGAAAACCCTTTTTCCTCCTGCATAATTTTATTCTAGAATTTTGGCAAGTTCTACATGAAAATTATCAAAACTCATACATGTTTAGATCACTAGGATAGTTATAATACCTTTTAAATTACTTTAGGTATCCTTTTATGTTCGTGTCCATTTTTATGTTCAAAATCCAGGTGAGACTGGTGGAGTAAGAATACAAGGACCCACAATAAGCATATCATCATTAGCAGGAATGCCCTGCCATTAGACAGTGTGCAGGGCAGTATAGTTTCAATTAAGAAAAGCATCTCATTGTTATATCTAACTCTTTTCTGTTCATACTGGTGAAAAACCTATTGCGTCAAAAATTCATTCATATGGTAAATGATATATATATATATACATTCCAACCTCACTTCAGCAAATCTAGTTTATAATGCACATTTCCCCCCCCCATTCAGTTTCCTATACACTTAATGTTATTTTTTGTAGATCTAACTTCCAAATGGATAACAAATGAAAATAACAAACTTTGTCATTACCTTCAACCTTTTTTCCCCTTCCCAATTTGCATGATTTTCCCCTTCGAATTTCTGCATTATCGACTGAAAAATTATTGACCCTTAAATTCATCCATATTTAGGCTATCAGAATAATGACAAAAAAAAACTTAACATTACAGTTCTTTTATCTTACTGGGAGACTATTAATTTCATCACATCTTCCAGTATATCACTACATCTCTCTCTCTCTCTTTTTTTTTAAATGTTTTTTATTTTTTAATCTTTACTAAGGAAAATATTTTCCAGTAATAAGTGAAATTTATTCAGGTATCTGTACTTAAATTCTGTAATTTCCGAGTGACTTTCTATAAAGTAAAACCTTCTTTTTCCCAATATACAACATCATATAATGTTGTGTGTTCAATAACTTTACTTTTTGTAATTGCGCCCACATTTGGGTATTGAAAAATTTTTTAAATATATATTATAAACAAAATTATATATGAAATATTTTTCTTTAAAGGAAAATTAAAAAGGAAGTATGATGAATCAGAAGACTCTGACTGTTTAAACAATCAAATGGATGTGTGTGATGAATCTAACATTTTATGAGACTGTTCCTTCGTATGGTAATAAATGACTACCAGTTCATTTTATGTACCTGAATCTGATTTAAGAGCTTTGGTGGATCTTCCAATTTTTGTGATGTCTTATTTATAATTTCGTACTAAAATGTTTCACTAATCCCTTAGGTGCTTTGTTTGTGTTGATGAAAATATGCACCAAGGAATATGTTTTCATATTGTGTGGAAACATCACCTATTAGTGTGTGCAGATGTTTTATCACTTTTGTATGCCAAAAATTGTTTGAAAATCGTGCATTTCTAGATAAAATAGAGGTTTACAAAAAGTATTTTTTTATGAAGAAGCTCAGATTTTGTAATCTAAGAATTGCACATTATAAGATCCACAAGTTCATTATTAAAAATGATTTTTTAGTCTGATATGAGTCAAATATTTGTATAGATCAGACATCTCCTAACGGAATTAAATGAAATGTATTTCCCTTTAAAAAAATATTGTTAAAAATATTTAGCATTTGCAAATAATATGCGGAAAATTGATATGATTTAAAGAAATTCATGGTTCATCAAATTACCACATGCTTTTTTAATTATGTTATGTTTTTATGACTTTATTGAAATTCATGTTTTATACAGTTATGTCATACTAATTCAATTAATTATACATCCTTAAAATTTCATGTTTAAGCAATTTAAATTCCATTATGGCATTATTTTGAAGAGCATATTTTGTGAGTGAATCAGTGTTCTATAAAATATTTTTTTTAAAAAGGCTTTAAAAAGGCTTTGAGAAATTTGTACTGCTTTTTCAAATATTGTCTGCATTTATTATTATTATTATTTTGTTTGTAAATTTTATATTTAAGAAGGAAATTAAAAATCAGAGCATATGTTTCATAATATCATATGGCCATTTACTCATAATATATGTATTTTCATTTATAGTGTATATCATAATTAGGCCTATAAAGTAATATCTAGTACAATACAAAGTCCGTAATTCGGACGTCCATTATCCGGAATGATATATAATCCGGACCTCAAAGCCACAAACTTACACATGCGCGCGTCCACTACGCATGCGCATACAGAGAAGAGATGCTGTTTACAGAAGAGAGAATTAAAGAAAAAACGAAGCAACTTAAACAACTTAAGAAATGTTTAATAAAGTAAACAAATAAATATCAAGTTTTTTTGTAAATTTTGATACCCTTTAGATCATAATTGCTCTTTATTTCATAAATTACGGTTTCATGTTTTTAATTGTATAATTTTTGCATGCCATCTTACCAGATTTAAATTGATGATCTATAATCCGGAAAAACCCCTAATCCGGAATCGCTGAAGTCCCGATGAGTCTGGATTATGGACTTGGTACTGTAGTTGTAGTTCCTTAATATTTTTTTTTTTTTTTAATTTATGAAAGAAATTTCAAAATTATGATATCTGGTCTCACTTTTAACCACTGGTAAGACTCAAATTTATGTTGTTAAGTCTAGGAGAAAGGACAGTGCCTTGTATTCTAAAACTCTGTTATAGGGATTGAATGAAAGAGAAATTTGCCAATGTAAAATTAAAATTACCCAAAAAGCAACCTTAGTTTGCCATGGATAATGAATAAAATTCTATCAATAATGATCCAGATACAAGTCCCACTTGTTTAGGAGCAAAAAAGTTTTTGCTGAGGTTGATTTTAACCTAATTTTAAATATGTATAAATATGCTTTGCATAATGAATAAAAAATTGTCCCATTTAACAAACTAGAACGGCACCATGTGCGAAATTTTTTATGGACAGCTGATTCCGCTGCCTCTAGTGAAGATTGAGCTGTTCTTCGGTTAGATTAAATTGTGTGTGTGGTGGGGGGGGGAATGTGCACATAATACTGTCTACATACATTTTCAATTGGCAAGATAGCCTAGGTTTAGTCATGGCCCTCCTTCACTTCCATATCTACCAACTCTTCCGATTTTTCGTCGCATTACCGAATTTCCCAATTTTTTATTTTTAACCTAAGCTGTTTTTCAACAATAAAGGAAATTACTGAATTAATGAAACAAACTGTAAAATTTCATTTCCCTACCCCTAGTGATTTTTTTTTTCTAATTTCTCTTATTAAATTTTATTTGATTTGAATTGTTTTATTATGCTGTAGATATTTGATCTTTATGTAAAGATTAAACCAATGTTTAATGAGTAAATATTTGTATTTCATTTTATTTTACACTAATATGTGGTACATTAATGTGTATTATATATTGGTTATTCACATAATAATATGTACATTAAATACTTAATTTTATTTCATCATGTTTGAAAGTACTTTGATAAATGAAAATTTTCCTATTCAGGATTTTCTTTGTATAAAAAGGTACAAAATGAAATTAACCAAAGAACATTAGATTTAAAATATCAAATTAAACAGTAGTATATTTCATAACAGAATCATACTGTACATAGTTCTATAAATTGAATCAGTCATGTGTTATAAAGCAAATTTAAGTCAGTTTAGAATTCTTCTGAAACAGTGTCGCTAAGCAATGTGAAGACCTCCTGTCTTTCTTGCGAGAACCTTCTGGTTTTTCACATTTCAGTGTGGTAGTTATGCACTCTGCTCTTCATTTGGCTAGCTTTCCCCAGATGGTAATCTTACTGTTATTAAAGCCACTATTGTTGCAGTCCAACTGTCAAAATCTGAGCCTCATTTTGCCATTGGCTTATAATTAAAAAATTTTAATATTAAACAAGAATTCGTGTGGCACATGTTGCCAGCAAATTTCATGCAATTAATTTTAATGTATTCAAAAATAGTAAATTTTTTTTATTATTTTTTATTTATTTATTTATTTAAGAATGACACATTTTCTGCATAATTTTTATAATTTGTTGCTATGTCTGTGTGGCCATTAGCCATCAATGTTTAAATCTTCAAAGATTTTTCTTAGGACTTCCAAAAATATATGCACATAAATATTTTTATAACTATAATTAATACATTTCTAGCACTTTCAGCATTGGTTTAGGTTTTAATAGTCACTAAAAATATTTATGATGTTTTGTGGTTTTGGATTTCCTGTGTCAAGCATAATGAACACTATCAGGGAATGGATTATATACATTATGCTAGGCATCACAATGTTTCATCCAGAAAGTAAAGTTAAAAAGAGCACACTGCTCATAGTTTTGATTATGCTGAGGTTAAATGCTTCAATTAGTGATTCTTATCTGTCTTATCATGATATCAAAAAAAGAACTAAAAAGAGAGAAAAAAAAATGTTGTTTCAAATAATCAGACACTTGCAACTTCACGCACTTGTCAAGAAGGGCCATTACCCGTCAGTCATTAGCTGTCTCATTACTGAGAACATTATTATTGGGAAAAGGTGATTATATGCATATGAGAATGGGGAAATTCCATCCCTACTTTAATGGAGAAACCCTGGGGGGCAGACTTGAGGGTCTGCCACTCCACTTTCCTTACCACAAGGCTCTTGAGAGGACTTTTGGTTCGTATTTGTAAGGGCTTTTGAATGTTCCCATACTGCACGGACACTATACCCTTACAAACATCCAAGCCATCTCTGGGATTTGAATTCAAGCCCAGTGATACAGCAGCCAGAAGTGCTAATCATAATATCATTCAGGGCAATGAGAGAAAAAAATATACCTTTTATTTTGTCTTAATTAAATAAATGTTATATACAGTATATAATTAATTACTTATATAATAAGTACAGGTTGAAGCAAGGCTGACACCTTTGCATCCATCTAGGCATTAGCTGACTTGCTAACTGCTAATCTTCTGCCCTGGGTGGAATTCTGAGGGTGGACATCTCGGGTGTCAGTCTGGGGGTCCCTTGCTACCAACCTCTTAAGAGGATTTTGGCTCGCTTGTATTTTGAGTGCCTCCTTGCTGTGCAAACACTATATACTTAAACACATCCCTACTTTTCTGAGATTCTTCCTAGAATTTAGTCCCATATAGGGAAGTTAATTAGGAGGCCTACTGTACATTTTATTTAAATTTTTTGTAACTGTCTTATTGGTGTTTTACAAGATTATTGTTATTATACAGTATTTTTATAATGTATTAAGTAAGAAATATTTTATGTAAAAAAGATTACTTTATTAAACGTTTTTAATAATCGGATTCACAGAGTAATCGTCCTATGCATTATTTATACTTAATTATTTAATTAAAGTAATAGCAATTGGTAACTGCACAAAATAAGCAAACCCTGAAATGCATAATAATTAAATACATAAAATTAATGTTGAGTTTGCAAATTTGAGATGGTGAAAATACTCAGATAAAAATTTTGGATTATTCACTAAATTAAGAATTTGGAGGTTAGAAACACTGAGACTTAATGGATATCCCCAAAATAAACAGTGGCTACTCAAATAATCTGTATGGGGTCATACATGCAAAGGCTTAATGTAGTTATATTTAATAAATAACAATGCTTTTAATATTTAGTGAATTTAAGATTGTAAAATTATTTAATATGACTTTTTTTTTTTCATAATGAGTAAAAATTTTGATTTTTTTATTTAGTGCTATTAGCAATTTTTTATGAAGATAACTGTTACTATAATTTAGTGAATCATTCATTAAATAAAAATATGTGAATGTGTCAGTGTATTTTTTATCCAGCATAAATAACTAAGGTGAATAAAAAGAACTTTAAAGACCCACTCTTATCATAAAATAATAGTCCCAGATATGTTTACTTCATAAAACATTTGTGGAGCTGGGATTCAGCTTCTATGCTTATTAATTTTATGAGAACAAGTAAAAGTAATAAAACTGAATAAAAGTACTGTAAATCAAATTAAGACTGCCATTTATTTCTGTGTGTATCAGGCATGCCAAACATTTGGTAAATTACCTAATAAAGAGAAACCAATTGTTAGTTATTACTAACAAATCAATATGCACTTAAGTAAGAACAAAATTAGCAATCAAATTGCATAAAGCAAAGATGAGTATTTGTGATTCATCTTTAATACAAAATTATAATATTCTTTAAAGGTGTATTCTTTTTTCAGGTTATTTTTACTTATCTGCTTTTCTTTGATACAACCACCTTCCTTGTTAATGTCATTAGAGTGGTGATTTATACTGAATATTAAAGGTTTTATTTCATTTACTTATGTGTTTGCAATATATACATATCAGTACTTCTCTGTGTATTCATTGAAACATAATATCATGTATTTAACTGAATTTAAGTATTTATTTTATTGTAAAGATATTTGTGATAGAAATGTTTTTGTATTTGTTTTTTACTTCTCTGTGATTGCATTCCAAAGTATACATAAATATTTTACTGCAGTAAATATTTTGTAAATATTTACTTTCTTGGTCAAATAAATGTTTTTATACTAGATTTGTCCATTATTCAAAGTAGCGGCAATAGCATTAATATATTTTAAAAAATACATTTATAATCATTCATTAAAAAGATTTGTGCAATTGAACAGTATTTATTGAATACTTACATCTAATACTGTACTTTTCTTTGTCTGTGTATTATACATGTAAATGATAAGAATCAATACAAGCATATTGATATTTAAAAATAAATTTTAAATTATTTAAAATTCTACCTAGACAATGACTTAATGATCTTGAAACATTGAAATCTTCAATGTCCCTGAAGCCTTGTGCAAACATATTGACAACTATAAAATATTTTTGAAGAAATAAAAGTGCATTGAAGAATTTTATGTAAAATATATTCACAATCTAAACATGCTTAAATGATAATTTTTAATACACTTCATTATTTGTATGTAATATAATGGTTAAGTATAAAGGATGATCATCTGTGATTCTTAAAGTAGGCATAAACATCTCCCCCCCCCTCTCGCTGGGCACTGGAGTATAAGGTAATTCAAGCTCCAAGTTATACTGAGGAGTGTATGTATCAACTAGTGAGTGGTGAAAATAATGTTTATGTAGGTGTATTCGAGTATGAATCATAAGATATTAGCACATTTTCTAAGAGGTATTGGCTTCAAAATTACTAATTAATGCTAAAGAAGAATCCTTATTTCGTATGATAAAAGAAAATTCTTGAGCAGGAAGAAATTACCTGTTCCTGCTCATGGTACTGCAGCAGTAGTAGGATGCTATGGTGGTTTTATGGCACAATTGAAAGCAGAGGTACAAATTATATTGGCTATGCACTGTGCTATTCATTGGCAACATCTGGTAGCAAAAAA